TGGTGTAGTCTGTCAATGTATATTAAGATTACTATGATAGTACATAGCCTTTATGATAAAAGCATGCAAATTAACATAGAAATCTGCAGAACTTTGCATATTTCCCTGTAATTTAATACAAACAGATCCAGATTTACAGAACCATGTGCACAGAAACTGTGTGTGCACATTTTTTGCATGTGCATTGCTGACCTTAAGCAGGAGAGTGAGAGAGAGGAAGAGCTCACATGGTTCAGATCTGCTCTGAGCTCTGCAGCTCCGCATGCCAAATGAAACACAAGGCGACTTTTGATGGCCAAGTGAGCCATCAAAAAGGTTTTTTTAATGGAAATGCTGTCACACTCTTAAGTAGAGTACTGCTGCCAGGCATCACATCAATAATGCAAACTTTGGAAGACAATCTTGCAAACTAAATAGCCAAGAATTCTGAAGTATTTCTATAAAGAAAAAAAAAGAAAAAAAGGTGATCATTATGAAGAGGGGGAAAAGCCATCAAGTGAAATTTAATTTTGCATTCAGATTTATTATTGCTGTCTGTTCCCAATGCTAAAATGCCTGTTTACTTGCAAAGGACAGTTTCTTTCCATAATGAATCATAGTAACACTTAAATTAAGCACAGTAAAAGAATGGTTAATGTCATAACACGCTGACAATTTAACCTGGCCAATATTTTTATTGCCTTGTACAATAAACCTAACAGAGCACAACTTGCTTTTTGACTGGTGGAAAATCGGTTATGAACCGCCAGGGAATGACCAATTTTTCAAATGCAGCCATTCAGTCACACTATAGCCACTAATACTTTTTTTTTCCTGTACACTATTGCTGTTATAATCTTTTGAGGATATTTTATCACGGCAATAACCTCCTCAAAATCAGTCTTTACTGCAGTTAATGACTGGACAGCTGGAGCATTAACTGGCCTTGGCTTTGCCTCTAGCCATTAACTAACAAACCAGTTGTTATCTGCAGGTAACAACCAATTTCTTGTAGAATTTTCTTGATAAAGTGTCTCACTGGATAAAAGTTGTGGGTTTTTTTCCCCTTCTTTCCTCTGCTAAGATCTAGCAAGTGTAGGATGATACACGGACAAAGAATTGCAGAGAAGTAGGAGTAAGTAAGAGCGTTGCAAAATAAGTTAAATTACAAACCAAAATCCATAAAGTGCTGGTTGTTTACTCCTGCCAGAATTTTAGCAACATTAATAAAAGATTGCTCTGTTATGTCTTGCTTACTTGGGTGTGGTGCCTGGGCTGCGTTCAGGGGTGGAGTTTGGGGGCTGTGTCCCCTGAGAGCATCCCCACCTGCACAGCCCTCCCCAGGCAGGGGGGACAGCAGCAGGGCCATGGCAGCTGCTGCCCATTCAGGCACACACTAACAAAGTGGAGATTTTAAAGTGCCCTTCATCTTCTCAGCCAATTCTGACTGAAGACACAAGTTTAATTCTGTATATGGTATAGTTTATGAAATGGGTATTATTTTTGAGGGCCTTCATAAAATTTTAGCCTTTTTTTGCTGGCGGTTCAAAGTTATGAAATGTCAACCTCTGTTTTGTTGCACCATTATTTTAAAAGTAGGGTTAGCAGATTCAGATGAAATCAGTGCATTACTGAGGGCTTTAAAGAGGAGATCCAAGGCATCATTAAATAGAAGCAGAATAAGTAAAATGTACAAATGAAACACCCATAAAAAGCCAAGCTCTATCATGCCATAAACAATGATGTTTTAAAACTCTTAATAGGCTTAATAACAGTTTATTATTTTACCTTAACCCTTTTAAATGCCTTGTTTTTCCAGCTTTTATCTCGGTGGTTCTGAGCTGTTAATACCAGTTCTTAAATTTTCCCCTCTAGGTATATTTTCCAGGAGTGAATAGGAAGAAAAAGTAAATTCAGCCATGCATTTGCTTTTAGAAAACACAACAGGCACTGTGCCCAAAAGCCTTCCTGGGCTAGGCGGTGGGATACAGCAAATATCTTGTGTCTTTAGTACTTACAGAGGATTTCTAAAAGGTGAAAATCCTGCCTCAGGAGGAGCCTGAAGGACAGGTTGGTGTCTCCCAGGGGTCAGGAGCCCCACAGGGTGTTTGGGTGTGCAGCCTCCCTCACAGCTCCCATCTGCCCCACACACAGGGACCATGGCCTGCCCTCCCTCCACTGAGGGCTTTTATGAGTTTCCAGATGTTTCCACTGGAGTCTTTTGCAAAACATGTTATTGTCAACCAGAAATAAAAAAAATTAATAACAACCAGAATTTCAAACCAGAGAGTCGATTTCAAATTGTTACATTTTGAAATTATTTTAATCTGGGAAGGTTTGGGGGATTTTTGGTGGTAAGGGTTGTTTTGAACTTGGAATTTCTGTGTTTTCTGTGCATATGCAAGTTGTTCCCTTTCTTTTTGGTATCCATGTAGAACTGGCTCATGCTATGGGAGATCTCCTTGGGACATTGATGTAGGAATAGACCCCTTCACTGCATGTGTACTTACTACCAACATTAGTTGCAATTCAAGCATTTCCAGCAATTTGAATGGATCCAATGATTTTTAAATCATTCTTAATTTCATATGCCTACTCCTTTAATCTCTTTCAAATTACTGAAAATGTAAGGCAGTCTAAACATTCCTGATCATTCTTCACTGCTTTGGCCCCATAAAGCCAATCTTTTCCAAAGTTAAGCACTTAAAAATTTGAAGTACTCCAATAAATTTAAATTGGCATATTCTGTGCATATCAATTGAGAATTATTAGAGCATTAATGCCTAGGAGTGATGGCTGAGGGCATGCAAACCAGTTCATACATTGATTTTTAATGGCTTTTTATTGATTCTGTGCTTTTTAAACTTGATACCCTAAGGTTGCCTCTCACATAGAGTTAACAGGTTTGTGATGATACACCAAGTTCAGAAGTGGCATCGTTTTCCTCTTACACTTTTTCTTTTCTCCTTATTATAAATTGCCCAGATGCAAACAGCAAATATGCTTGGTCAGTGGCTTTAAAAAGGGCGATTGTCACTTTAACAGGATATGGCTCATCATGTTTCCCTGGCTTATCTGTAGACCAGATTTCTGTTAAAACCTTTAAGGGTCTCTCCTCCCCTCAGTGTGAGCACACAGTGCTCACCAGCAATGATGGATGCTCTAGACCTGCCCTGACAGGATTCTTAGCAATTCTTAAATGTCAATCTTAATTTGTCAGGCCAAGATGTTGTAGGTGTCATAAAGCACAGAGTGAAAATGCACCTTAGTACTTTTACATTTTGAAAACGATTCATTTATATTATGAATGCAGACCTCTGCTCTTGATGTAATTCCACAGCATTTATTAATACTTTGGTATTAACCTGTTACTCAATACACTGTCACTGCAGCCTGCACTGGTGCTAACTGGGGCAGGCGGGTGTTGTGCTGGTGGCTGCCCTCCTGAGGAGGAGGAGGAGGAGGAGGAAGGCTGGGGATGGGGCACAGGCTCAGAGGGGACCATTTGGGGCATGCCTGGGCTGTGGGGGCAGCTGGTGGCAGCCTGGGGACGTGTCCAGCTGATGGATCAGGAGGGCTCAGGGTAGCACCACTCTGAACCAGTCACACCACCACCCTGCCTTGGGTGTGGGGTGTACTCCTGCCAGAGTTTTCCTATGTGGGTCATAACGGGACAAGTGAGAATATTTCTAATAGACTCAATTCTTGTGGGTTTTTCAGTGCTTCTCCCCTGCTGCTGGGGCTGCGCTGTGTGCTGTGCTTTTTGGGAGGCAGCGATTCCAGTTTCATTTCGTGGGGAACCAAACTCTCACGCTGCCTGGCTGTGATGCTGCTGCTTGTAATTCCCTGGCCGAGGCTCTGCCAGGAATCCTGGTGCCCATCAGACGCAGGTGTCTCTCTCCCCCCGCCCTAGATCCCCTCTGGCTGCGGGTAAGGCACGTAGCAGTCTGAGGAGACATTAATTGCTGTTAACTGCGATGGGCGCTGCTGTAGCTGGGCTTTGTTTAGGGCAAATTCCTCTGCAATTGCATTGTTAGAAGCCACGGGTCTGTTAAAGTCGGAGTTATTAGGCCATGTGCCTTCTGTGTGTTGTCATAGCCAGAACAACACCAGTGTAAACGTCTGTGCTGGGCAGGGGAAGTGTTAAGTGAAGAATAAAAACAAGCCCAAATTCCCATTTGGAAACTGCATGCCTCAACAAATACCACTGTTCATAGCAAGTTATTAGCTTCTTGGTTGTAATTCTGGTCCTTTTCTAAAGGGAGGTGGAAAAAAGCATGTAAAAGAGATTTTTGACACTTCACGGTGTATTGAATGAACAGCAGAAAGCTCCCCAGCCTGCCCGTTCCCATTTACAGTTTGCATGTGGCTGAGGTAACACTTCTTCCTCCTTTTCCACGAAATTCCCCATGTTTTGTGGTGGCAGCACCCTAGACACCCCAGAATGCATGTGACTAACACATTTTCAAATTACAAACCTGCAATGTCCCTTTTTCTGAGGCTAGTGGGTAAGAGGCACATGCAAGAAGCCTTTCTGTACCCTCAGATAGGAAGGAGGTCTCTGTGGTGGGCAGTGCCAGGGCTCACTGGTGGGCAGCAGCTTCTCTTCCTGACCTGGGTACCAAGGAGGGGAGGATGTCATGTCCTGGGTGACAGGGGTGACCCCCACACTGGGCGCTGGCCTCCCTGGATGTGTGATGAGGACATGGGAAGCAGTTGAATGCCCTCTGGGAGGTTAAATAGTTAAATGCCCTCTGGAGTGTTTGCTGGTGGACTTGGCTGAACTGAACTCTCATGTCTGAACTGAATATTTTGAAGTTTACTTATTACGGACTATCCACTTTGAACTGCATGATGCTGAGTTTCTAACAGCTTCCAAATCTTAAATGTCCCTGTTTTTATCAGGCCAGCTGTGTAAGAGGGACCTGCAAGAAGCCTTTTCCTCCTTCTGAATGTACAGTCGTCACCTTCTTTTGTTTTTGCTGTGTGCCTTCCAGAATTAGAAGATTGAGAGTGAGAAATGGGATTTATATATTTATTTAGAAGCCACTCTGAACAACAGCACATTTACTAGCTTGGTTCATTTTTATGAATCTGATTCATTGCTTATTAAACCAATGGAAATCTTTCCATTGTTTTCAGCTGGTTCTGGCTCAGAACTTCTTGGTGCTTGACAGTATTTAGTAGGAGCTGAAAGATTTGAACTTCTAAATCATGCAATATTATGGTCTTCTGCCATGCCTGTTTCTTAATTATATACATAATCCCAGTATCTGTTGCTGTGTATTTCTGGTTGAGCAGTTGCTGTTCAGTTAAATTTTCACAAGTACAGTGTTATGAAACAGTTAAACAAAATATCTTCAATATTATATTTGTCAAAAACGAGAAACCAAATACTGAGATCAGTTTCATCCATTCATTAGTTTATGGACACCGAGTCCTCTGAGGAATGTCACAAATTCCCTTGCTGTGTCTCAGTGCTAGATTTAGCATTTGGATCTTTGATTTAATGGAAAGATACATTAAAAACTGATACAGTCAGACAGGTCCCAGTGGGGTGTGCGTCCATGTCGGCTCTTACGTTAGGGCTCCTTCAGTCGAGATTTGGCAGGAGGTGCTTTTATCCAGGAGTTGCTCTGGAATGTGCCAGGCACTTTTCCTGAGCACGGAGTGTTTTCAGTGGGAGCAGCTGCCGTGCCTCAGCCTGTCCAGCGGGCTCTCAGCTGGGTGAGAGGTGTTCCTGAATGTCACCCCCCACACCTTTGGGCTGTGCAGGAGCCAGCCTGGTCCAGGGAGCACTGGGAATTCCCACAACTGTCCTGTGCTGTGGAGCTGTTCACGTTTTTAGTGTGACCGTGGTTTATTCCTTTATATTGACTTCTAAATATATTCCAGTAGCTGTCATTTCCCTCAGGAACCTCTACTGAATCCATGGATTTGGAGCTGCTATTATAACATATTACAGGACAATTAATTTGTAAGCACTGTAACCTGTCCTAGAAAGCAGATTCTGAGAGGAATACTTTTATCCTTATAATTTAATGTATCGTGTAATGAAAACTAATCTATGTAGTTCAAATTCAGACATTAAAACAAGTTAAAAGGGTCAGTATATACAATAAATTTCCCTTTGCCAATTTACTCAGTTAATTTAGACATTGCCTTTTCACTTAACTCATTAAAACTTTCTTGCCAAGTTTACTTATCTGTGTTAAGGGTACAATTAATATTATAATTTTTAATTATCCACTTGGTTTTATCAGAGCCAAAGTGTTTCCTTAAGTGTGAATATCAAAATAGAGCCTATATTTTTTAAGAAAGTGAAGCACTGCAATTTCACTAATTCCTTAATAACACAAATATTTGTGTATCTTTTTCCTTACTGTTAATACATCAATTGTTGTATTGTATTTTATTTTATAACCTTAGCATAATATACTACTGAAAGCTATATTTTGTACTACTTAATTCTGTACCACTCATTCTGATTTATGGCATCATTTTGTTTCCAGCTCACTCCTTATCTTCAAAAGGCTTGATCCAAAACTCATCAAATTCAGAGGAATAGATCCCAGTGGGCTTTGGATTAGACTAGTAGGGTGAAATTGTGGACTTCATGAAGTTTGCATTACATGTGCAGATATGCAGTACTGAGATTACTTGATAGATTTCTAATTCAGCTTCTTCTATTTAGGAGCAAGTTCTTGAGAATCCTGGCCATGCACTTGAAATTTAAGAGACCATTTTAGTTGCATATATTCATCCATTTTCTTACTATGACATTTGAGAATACATTTATTTGCCAGTTTGATTTTATCATCATTATGGAGGGCTCATGTTTCTAATTTCTCCTACAGTCTCTTGAATTGTTAATGTTAACTCCTACTGAACCCAGCCTTGTTTCCTAACAGGGGGATGCTGTTCTGAACTGGTATTGATGCTGAGCTGTTAAAAATACTTTCTTCAGGAATGACAGGTTTACAAGTCATAATAAAGGACAGCTCATCACAAAAGTATGGAAAGGCGTAAATGCAGAAGACACCTGGTAAATAATATTGCAATGTATTTATCTTGTTATTTCTTAGTTATAGATGTATGGAGTGATAGATATAGAATTATGAAATTGATTTAAGTTCTTCAGTGCAGCAGAAGCTGTTTTGTCATCTTCAGTGCTCTTGCTTTTCTTTTCCACCTGACATTGTTAAATGGAAAACACCCTGGACATATCTTCCATTATATACCAGCTAGAAAATTCCTGGGTTTGCCATTAACTGGATAATCCCTGGTATTCTGTCTGGCTATGTATACAGACTGCTGCACATGAGATCCATTTTATTAAATAAATACAGAGGGAGTGTGTTAATATGGAATGATTGCAGCAGATTCTGGTAGATGATCGTGTGTGCTACGAGCTACCTCAAAATGCATTTGTGATATATGGCTGTGCTGCCTGATCCATGGCTATTGTGCAGCTGATTAGCTGTGCTGAGAAATTACTCATTCCCTTGTATTAACTACACTGTTTAACTACACTGTTTCCACCAATCAGTATGAAGTATGCCAACTTTGTTTAGCCTGTGCACTTGTGCAATGATGAACAAGTAATGCATAAAACAAACCCTCCTACCTAATCAAACATTCCTCAGAGATTTGAAAACAGAAACAAAGGGTAAATCCATTCCTAGATTATAATGGTAAAACAAACTAAAGTTTGACATATGTATATGGAAACTATGAACACATGATATGAATATTTTTTAAACAACAACATGTTTGAATTATTAATAAATGCAAAAAATATGTTTTAACACAAAATGGAACAATTGGAAGGATATATTTCTTCAGAAGCACAAGGATCAGGAAAGATCTCCGTTGAATATAAACATTTTTTTCCCCTCTTGCTTTCCATTTTAGCTTTTCAAACGTCTGTCTCATGGTTGTAGTTGGAGAAGTTTCCCTTTTTCATCCCTGAACCTGCAATACAATCTTCACTCTCCAAGTATATAATAAATGAAGTTTGTTAACCCTCAGGGTGTGAAACCCATTTTTCTCTCCTTGTCCTAGGATGTTAGGTGTTGAGGACAGCTGATGTGTAATCCTTTAGGAAGGACTGCAGAGCTATCCAGGAAAGGGCTTACATTTAATTTTGCCATATATCCTGGTTGCCAGGTTATTTGATTTTAAGATAATTAATGGATCTCTTCATGGGTATATTTTTTCTTAGTCATCAAGAAAGCTCAAAATATTTTATAAGAGTGATTTTATTGGAGAGTAGTAAATATTGATGGAAGGAGATACCAGAAAGTTCAGGGAGTTCTGGACTTTATTTTCCCTTATCATTAGATATGAACAAGCACAGTCCTTGTAGATTTAAGGGGGATTGTGATGAGAGACCACTGTAGGCATTTTCACTGGTGACTACACATCAGTTAGGGGCTTTCATTCTGCTCTTCCCTACAATTCTTTTTGTATTTTGTGGCAGCTGGGTGAACAGATAAAGCACAAAACACTCATCAGTAGAAATGCCATGTATAAATAAAATCCTAAATTGAAACCATCATAAGCAATTCAAAGTAAAGACAGCAGAGTCTTTAACATTAAGCCCTTAGGGGAAACAGAGTGAGGGAACAACAATGCCAACTTTAACTTTGAATTCCCAGTTGTGCATTGGCTTGTACCCCAACTTTAACATTAATCAGAAGCTTCTCTGCATTTCATCTCCTCATTTGCAAAAAAATCTTTGCTGAAAGGTTATATAAAACTCATTATTTACCTGAGTGACCAGAAAGGCTCTCAAAGTGCCATTCCAAGCTCTCGGGTGAATGCTTATTTATAGTTTTTTAATAGGCATTCATTACCTGATGGATTGGAAAGACTCTTTTTGAACCAGTTCCTGTCTATTGGTTAAATACAGATTGATAACTTTTTCTTAAAAAGCTTATTATTAACCAGATAAGCTCATCACCTTTGGATTTCTAAAGTGGTGATTAGTTTTAGCTTCCAAGGGTTTAGTCAAGATTTTTTTTTTTTGGTGTAACTTGAATTTTGCCCAGTGGGCCATATTCTGGAAATTAATTACAGTAGTGCAATGCTTGCAAAACCCTGACTAAATCAGTAGCATAAGCCTGTTTGCACAAAGAAATACCTCAAACCTATATTGCTGCTCATATATTGGGTAGTCCAAGCACAGGGCATAGAGGAGGTAAAAGGGTGCAGCCCATTTTAAAATTCCTGTGAGCTTGGTTGGAAACACATTGTTAGGCATATTTTGATGCCTAAAAAGACATAACAAGTCCTATTCACACCTCTGTGCAATTTGCACAGTCTTTGAGCTTCACTGATTTTGCTTGGTGTATCATTCTGCTTTTGGGGATTTGCTTCTAGCTTAAATTACTGTGGAAACAGAAAAAAAAAAAACAACCAAAAAACAACCCACAGAGTTTTTAGAAATGCAGTTTGGCAGTGTGGGCTCAGAATCCCCATGCAGAATACCTCTTTGGGTGGCTGTCAGTGCTGCCATCCTTTGAGAGATGAGATCTACCCCATCTCAGCTGTTGGTGCCCGGGCAGTGCTCCCCTGGCACGGCTCCACAGGCAGGCAGCCCCAGCTGCTCACCCCCTCTGCAGCTGTTAGCACATCTGTGGGGCTGCAGAGAGACAAGCCCTGGCTAAAGAGGTGTGAAACAACACGGCCATACACGCCCCTGCCTTCTGCTCCCCCACGGCTCTTCCAGGGTCCAACTTGTACCTTGATATTATGCTCTCCAGCATCAGCTGATGCTTAATTCCAACATAAGGATGGAATGGAATGATAAGGAAAAAGAGCCCTTAATTTGCAAGGTTCCTGGAAAATGGGCAGGTTGTTTGAATTCTCTGGAGTTTTCACAGAATTCCTAACATGTTTGAACATTTCAAGCCTTGTTTGCTTGTGTTGTATATTTCTAATTTGCAGGGCATAAGTATACCTGCCTTTGCCTCTATCCTTTTCACTGTCCACTTTTTCTTTCATCCTTAAAAATTTAAGTTGGAAATTTCCATCCTGTTCACTCTTTTTTTCCCTCAGTGGCGTAAATATATGTTGTTAGAAGGAGCATTCAACACTCACAGGAGAGAACTGTCCTTTCTCAGCTCTTTAAGCAGAGTAAGTTTTCAACCATCTCAGACAATTCCTACATTTTGGTGTTACTTCTCAGTTGTTTCAGAGATGATAGTTTTCCTTCAAATGCTTCTAATTATGCAAAGATGCTTTCCACAAAATAAAAAAAGACTCAAGTTTTTCCAAAGGAAAAAAACCCTTTTGGGTTAAGTGAGAGAATTGAAAAAAAAAAATACCCAAAGCTCTAAGGCCCCTTGAGTTTTACAGCAAGGAAATTATAAAGGTCATAATGTTGGTGTTCTTTGACATCACCTTTGCTGTTGTAAAACTTTGGTGGAAGTGCTTATCCTAACTATTCATTGTATTACTTTTTAGGAAACCAGTTTCCCATTTGGTTGAGAAATCCTTAAAATTCTGTTTAAAATAATGTAATCAAACCCAATTATACTGTTTGCCTCCCTCTGCTGGCTGTGCAGACAGTGTGAGTTGGCTTCTTGTGCGATCCTCTCATTCTAAGCCAGCAGGTTGATTATAGCGGTCTTCATTTCAAGGTGGGTGAGCAGCTATATATGAACAGTGTTATGGAGACAGGAAATTTTTTAAAATAGAAGTCTTTATCTTTGAGTCTTTAAATTATTAGAAACGTGTTTTTTATTAAAAAAGGTTCCCCTAACCTCTCCTGAACCCATATTCTGGACTGGTTTAGGTGGGGACAGAAGAGTCATGTGCAATTTCTTTGAAGAAAGGCCAGGTGCTGAGGTACAGCAACAATATTTTGGCAGGAAAATGGCAAATCAAATCCAACTGTCCAAGAGGGCTAGATATGAGCAGAGCTGAACAAATCTTTGTGTGTACACACATCATTCAGGTGCTTTGCATTACACAGAGAGCTCTCCACTTCATCAGTTTTCAGATGTTCTGCTCTGCACTGGTGTCACTCTGTATTGATGTATATTTTTCACATACATATCATAGCCAGCTCTGTCCTTTGTCCCACTCCCAGAGCCTCTGCAATTCTCCAGAGATGTTGCCTAAACCACTTTCAAGTGTCCAGTCTCCTGTGAGGATGTGAGATAGCCCGCTTTGTTTTATTAGCACTCGCAGAAAGCAACCCTGAAAAAGAACCTACAGCATAATATGGTGGAGCCTCCCTAATGACAAAACCAGGCATATCATTTTCTCCTCCAGGAAATTGTTTTTCATGTTCTTCAGCATCAGTTTAAGCAGAACTTTTTGGTCTTGTTTCTGTACCTGGACACCCAGAGTGACCCTTTCAAGGGGCAGGTGCAGTGGTAGAGCTTGAGGATAGAACAAACAAAAAGAGAGGAGTGTCATTTTCATTAAATCTATTTAGGAGAAAATAACAAAAAAAAAAAAAATCAAGAAACCAACAATAACAAAAAAACGGAGACACAAGTATTATTTGGAATAAAAGCAACAACACCAAATTTCCATTCCAGCTGTTCTCTGGGTGTCTGGACCACACCATGCTCTTCTGGGCTGCACTGACCTCAGCCCCTGCCCCTCTGTGGGACCCTCTGCAGCTCCTCTGTGTGCCCAGCTGGCCTGGCATGGCCCTGCTGGGCACTGCACACACAGAGATGGAGAGGAGCCACAGCTTGGGGTGAATAGCTGCTGTTTGTGCTGAGGGTACACCAAACCACCGGGCATAAATCACATCTCTGCAGACAAAAGCAGCCTTGCCAGTTCACAGGAGTCCTGCAATTAATATTAGTTTAAAAAGAGCCTGTTCTGCACCCCTGGGATGGCATCCCTGGGGGTGGGTGTGAGCAGGAGGCGGGGTGAGCCACCAGGGTGTCTCAGGCCAGTGTGGGTGACCATGCCCTGCCCTCAGGCTCCCTGCCCTCTCCCAGCCTGGCAGTGTTGTCTGGCTGCCATGAGCACAGGGGGCACTGCTGCCAGGCCCTGTGGGTGAGGGGACACCCATCTTTGAGTGCGCCTCACATGGCACAGCTATGGCAGCCCTGAGGGGACAAACCTTCACCCAAACCATGAGGGAAAACCTCACCAGAATGGCTTGTGGTCTGGTTCAGATCCTCCCAAAATAGCCCACGCTTTCTCCAACCTCAGCCACCAGCCCAATGGAGACCAGGTATTTCTGTGCAGACCCTGGCACCCACTCAAGTGAGGCAATCCAGCTCAGGGACACCTTTGGTCCCTGACACATGGGCCCAGGTCAGCTGGTGAAGGGAAGAGGTATCATGGCCTTAATTAGTGTAAAACAGGGCTTAAAGTGCGAAACCACAGCTTAAAAGGAAAGACACCAACATTTTCAGCACATCCTTAAAATGTAGTTTTTTCCATTAAATAAATCTGTAAATTTTTTAAGCAAAACAGCTTCAACAAGGTGGTGTCTGACAGTGGAGGAGGTTCTGGGAGGGCAGCTGTGAGCCAGGATGGAGGCACAGGGACTGCATGCAACTGGCACAGGACAGGGACAACTGGGATGGGATGGGATCTGCCAAAGTAACATGTTGGGAACACTGGAGTTCATCAGTAAGGGAAAGTGGCCAAGTGCTGGGATGAGCACAAATGTATAATGATTAGATATCTAGGGTTTGCTGTAATATTTGGGACCAGGGTGGAAAGAAAAGGGGAAAAGTTTAAGGGAACTGTTGAAAAGTGGGATATTGGTTAGAATAGTTGAGTTAGAAGAAATGCTTACCCAAAAAATTATTCCAGAGTCTTACCTCAGAGGTAAGATCTCACCATGTCTTTTAAATAGCTCCTGAAGAGCTCTGACAGACTGAGAACAGGCTCAATGTGAATTTGCTACAAGAGCTAAGTCAGTGGTAATGCAGTTTAAGTTGAAGTTCAGCTATTCTTTTGGATATTTTTCCCAGCACTTTCTCCTCTTGATCAACCATAATTCCTGGTGATTACAGCTGGAGAAGGAGACCTGCTATACCAATTCCACATAAATTTAAATGTTAAAGTTTAAATCCTGGAGCAACAGTTGTCTCCTGATCTTCTACATTGTGCTTGTACTGAGACTTACTGCAGCTTTCACTCTTGCTCTCTCGGAGGGTGTGGGAGCCCCTGTTGTGCTGAATGGAAGATGGGCACAGAAGTGTGTCCTGCATGGATTTATAATGCTGTGCCTTTATTCTGGAAGCAGAATTTGCTCGATTCCACTAGGTGGATCTATTGAGAACATTGTTCACTCTTTAATGTAAAAAGTGTCTTTGACTTAAGGGAGAAAAAAAGATTTTTTTTTTCTTTATTACTGCTTTACTCAGCTCCTTATGTTCTAAAAAAACCACAAAGGTGGTCACTTTTGTCCACAGAAAGCTCTAAAGCCATGTATCAGTGTCAGTCCATAATACCTTGAAGGACTTGTTCTCTTCATTGCAGTTTTGCCTTTGTTTTGCAAAGGAGAAGAGTCAGTGCTGTGAGAGGGAGATACACCTCCACAGTGACTTGGCTTTAGATGCTGCTTCCATTGCATTTCTTCCTGATGCCCATTTTGTACTCTCATTTGGATCCTTTCCTGGTGGCTGTGATTTGGTGAATTTTTGCAATGATTTTATCCCCAAAAGTGGCCAACATATGCTCCTCACCTTAGTATCTGCTTTTAGTGACACGTGCAGGTTGTCTGTGCTGTCAGGCTCAATGGTAGTTGACTGCTATATTGAGGATGTGGATTCATCTGCTAAAAATGCCCAACTTTTTACAGATTCTGATTATCTTGACCCTGTGATGATGGTGAGCACAACCTTGGTTGGTCAAATCTATAAAGAGATATTTATTTTGGTCATGGCCCCTGGGAAATAGACAGCTTGTTCTCAAACGGGTTCTGCCTCTACTCTCTTTTGAGAGCTGGGACCTCGAGTCCCTTTACCAGGAATTTTCCTAGAATCTGTGAAAACCACTGGGAAAACCTCCATCCACCTTGGCAGTTTGCTGGGGTTCTGCCCAGAAACCCCCCGTGTTTATAACAGGAATTTTGAAAGGCTTTTCCCTTTTTTTCCTGTGAGAGTGTTTTATTTATGTCTTCTTGAACCATGCTTCAGCAACTTCCTTGCTGGCTGACTTGTGTTTTCACTGGCTCAGACTGCCATGTAGATCACACCACCTGTTCCAGAGTTTGCTGAAACATTTAGCGCAAGTTTTCTGCAATCCCTTATTTAAAGTCCCTGCTATTGGATGATTTCTTTTATGTGCCTTTCCTTATCAATATTAAAGACCTGATGTTCTGCTCTTCCTTGGAGAAGAGACCCCTTCCTAAAGGCATTAGGCTTTCAATGAGTTTCTTCAGCCTTTGTTGAAAGAATGCCCACTTGCTTATCACTTCTCTTTAGGAAGAAAATGCTGATCACACTTTTTTATGAACAAAGGCAGGATTATTCCATGGTCCTTCCTTATAAAGCAAACAACTTATAAATATTTAAATATATAAAGCTGATGTTTCTCCCCCACCCATTGTGTAATTTACTGTATGACCAGTTGTCATTTGCTACTTTCCTGTGTAAAACCCCATAAAATACTCCTCCTACCTGGACTTTTGTTGGACTCATCAAACTTGAGGAGATTTGAGATACTCTCCCCTGTTATTTACATCTGTCTGAAATGAGATCTTCCAGAAGGCTGTCATTACACAAAGGTAGAAATCATGGTGAAAGGTAATGTTGCCTAGCTGAGGAACTAAGCTTTCATTTCTCTCTTCCTACTTTTTAAAGTTTGACAAGTCTGTGGCTGATAGCTTTTCCTCCCTGAGGAGGTGCCCACTATGCTCTAAAGCAGTGCAAGAGCTTTGCAGAGTAAGGCACACAATGTACATCTCCTCTGATCTTCCCCTCTGTCCGCTGTATACAGAGTTTTACCTTGTTTTGAAGAGGCAGAGTATTCCTGCCCACTCGTAGAGGACGCACAGAAAGGAGTACAACCAGCCAAAGAAGTTGGAGAAGTAGCTAAGGAAAATTGAGAGCACAAAGGCTTTGGAGAGAAAAGACCTTTCCCTGGATGCAATAAAAGAAAAAGGAAATAGTACTGAAGAAAAAGGAACAGTAAAAATGGGGAGAAATGGGAAGGAATACTGGGGGTAACTACAGAAGTGCTGATGGTGCCTGAAAATACTCTGAATTCTGAGATATGTTGGAGCAAACTCTCCCCAAGCTCAAATCTGAGATTTTTCTGAATCCCAGCTAGCCAGTATTCATTGCTTAGGTGCTGGAGCCTGTCACTGTGTCAACAAAATGAGAAGGTCTCTTGTCTTTAGGATTCACTGAGCTCATGGATCTATAATATCTCTTTGTGGTGCAATTTGGGCCATCCCAGCCCAAATAATGATGTCTATGAGGTGCTGGGGAAAACAATTAAACAATTTTGATCAGTCTTGTTAACAGAGTCCTCCCTTGACAGCACCTGTGCCTGCAAGTAGTAACCCTGCTCTTCAAGATTTTGAGAAGAGTTTGACGTTTCTTCCTGTAGAGTTGAGTTGGAGAATCATCTGCACCATCCAACTGACTACAAAAAAAAAAAAAAAAAAAAAAAAAAAAAAAAAGAAAAAAAAGAAAAGGAAATTTAATTGGTGATTCACCAGTGCTGGACTACTCCTCTGCCCTCATCTTAGGGAGGGTTTAGTATCTAACCTCATCTTCCTGGGAGATGGTTCTTAATCTTTGTCCACTTGAAAGTTTCTGGAGGGAAATTATTTTTCCTTCCAGAACAGAAAGAAAAGGAGAAATATTTTAATTTCTGCAAAGATCAGAGTCAAAGCCCTCATGTTCATGCTTATTTTCACTCAAATTGTTGTTTCTAAATGAGCATCATGCACTTACTCCAGAGGAACAGGAAATCCCAGTTAGATGTCTCAAGCTCCTCTGCTGTCAGTTGCTGTTTCACCTATCTCTAGTCAATATTCTTATCTTTGTCTCAGGAAAAAGACCATGGGATTTTCCTGAGTTCTCATTCTTCTGTAAATCTTTGTGCAGAGCTCTGAAATCTCCTGTCTGTTGCTGATTCCAGGTACTCGATTTGGCCCCTGCCTCTGAAATGCCATCCCCTCCTATGTGGTTTGTTTAATGTAGCCCTAGGTCACAGAAATCCAAAGGTGAAATCTGATATTTTTTAAAAAAGGTATAGCTCATTCTTTTATGAGACTGCTAATAATGTTCAGCCTTGACAGGGTTAAAAGGCAACATCCATTTCCCCATTATCTTGTTTAAAAAGTGCCTTTTTTAAAGTCCATATGGCGACTTCCTTTCGACCTGCTTTCCCATCCTCGTCTCTTTGTCAGGGCTGTCACTTATAAAGAATCACTTGACTTACAATAACAAGTTCAAAAGAAGACAGAATATAATCAGTTGATCCACGAAGAATTGAAATAAAGAACACCCCCACTGCTCCAGTTATCATTCCCATAGAGATAGTGATATTATTGATGTGATTGCTATGCTAATTTCTATAGAAAAAACTTGTATTTTGGAATTTGTTCAAAGAGAATTTCAGACACATCAAATTGGAAAATGCAGAGTGAATTCCTAAACTTTTTCGTATAGGCATGGGAATCTTTTTTTTTTTTTTTAACGTTGAATAGCTCTGAACAACTATTTATAAACTTCACTTCAAATACCAATTGGAAAAATGTTGCTAATTTTTCAGTTATTATAGAAAGTTAATTCACTGTAGTTCTATTAAAAAAAAGTCCTATTGTACCTTTAGGGTTATTAATATCGCCCCCCATAACCTGCAGAATTGGGATTGGACCACAGACTCCAGAAACAGAGGCTAGGGATCTAGGGATTATAAAAGATGGGCACATTTAAGTCCAGTGTTTAGGAAGAGCTAATTAATCTATACCCCTTCCTCTGCAATTCCATAGTCCCTCTGGGAATTGCCACAAACATAAACTTTTTTTTTTTCTCGTGGATTCCTATTTTAACTAGAAGGTTTCAGCTTGTGATGTTATGCTTTTTATGTAGTAAACTGATTTAAAATGTATGCCAGTCATCTTCAGGGAACTCATTTCAGTCAAGATGAAACTAGTCTTACCTGAATCAATGTTTTAAGTGTCCCTGTGGCTCGGCATTTTGAATAATCAATCTGTCTCCATCGCTTCTTAATCATGCGCATCACAGTCTTTTTTATTTGTCAACCCTTTCGGATCCTGGCTTTTTGTTATTAACATGCCCCTAATGTCACATGCAAGCCTTTTCTTTAAAACAAGCTGCTCATTGGTGTATTTTGATACTTTTTATTATTACTAAATCTTTTTTCCCATAATTACACCACAATCATTATATAATCCCATAACAAAGAGTCTATTGAGGCACCATGCTTTTGTCAACTATGGGACACAGAATCCATAATTGCATTATTCAGCTTCTCCCCCCCCCCCTTCTGCTTTGTAGAAACACAACCTATTTCACCAGTCACATTTGCACCTTGTTTGCTTGGTTATATATTATTTACTAAATCGTTGCCCTGCGGATAAACCGTGTAAAGTTGCTTTAAAAAAGTTATTTGTTTGATAATTAAGTCCTGAAAACCCATCGTTTAATGATTATTCCGAACCCATAAGGCAGAGAACCTCCATGACGTTTTTCTCTAAGTTTAATTACCGTATGCTAATTTCCTTGCCTACTACGTGATTAATTAAAATCATATTTTCATAATCATTTGGCACTAGTATTGTTTTAGAATTATCATGATCCCCTAAATAGTGTATGTAAATAAAGTCGGCTCTAATGGAAAGAATCAAAATGCAACGCTGAGGACCTTTATGTGTTTGTATGCATGCGATTGGCAACATAACTGGCTTATTTACATTAAATACGCCACAAGGTTACAGTGCAGATCAACGTCACTTTATCGCTGATTACTTCTCTTAAACGCCGGAGCGGTGACTGATGCTCCGGTCCCCCTGTCCGCCAAGGTTTTCCCCGGGAGTTTT